GCCGCCGCGGATTTCCTGGCAAGAAGCAAACTCGGGCCAAGACTTCACTTCTCAACCGCCCCTGCTGCCTTCCCCGGGGCGAACGCCAGGGCCGCGCCGCACAACCCGACACGCACCTGGGCCAATCGGCAACAGCATAGGGCGGGAGAGGGGCGGGCCAGAGAGCTGTTCCGCCTATCCGAGAGCTCGGGGGCGGGCCGGGCCGGGGACGTCACTTGGGTTAGAGTGAGCGCACTCCGCCCCTCGCCGCCCTCCCTCCCCCACTCCGCGGCAGTCCCCGCCGCTCTCCTGATTACCCCGCGGAAGACGCGCTCGGGAAGTGTCTCTGCGCTCACCGCCGACCGCCGCGAGGGGACGGAAACAGCTGGGGGAGGCGGAGGGCAGCTAGGGAGATCGAGGGGTGGGGTGAGGAGAACAGGTGGCGCAGGAAAGCAGAACTGTAGGCGTGTCGGGCTAGAGGACAGCGGGAGTCGGGGGGTACGGGCAGGGGCTGGCCGGGGTGAGGGGTGCGAGGGGAACAGGAGAGCCCGGAAAGGAGGAAGATTATTAGCGAAAAACACCTGAGGAGACGGGGAGCGGAGAGTTACGAAGGGAAGAGGAGGGCGGAGAGCGAGTCTGGGTGGTGAAAGGAGGCGGGGGCAGGAGCACCTGGGAACAAAGGTGAGCGGGAGGTTTCACAGGTGAGGAGGTTTAAGAGGCCAAAAGGGTAAAGGGAAAAAGACGTCCAAAGCGAGGCAGGACGTACTCCAGGGGTAAAAAAGATCCTAGAAGAGAAAGGATTCGGGGTGGGGGGGGGTGGAACGGAGTGGGGGAGTGGGACGGGACACTTTCCTTCCAAACTCTCACTCCTCCCCCAAAAGACGAAAAACAAACGCTGTCCTTTGACCCAGTTGAGCTGTGCAGCTGCAAGATCCTGGATGAGTCAAATACCGTTTTAAACCCATCCCATTCTGTTGTGAAATTCATCAAAGTGTATTGATCAGCTACAGTAAATCTGTTGTCCTGTGAGGCCCCCTCGGCGAGTTGGGAGTGCCCCCTTGGGAGCAGCCCCGCCCCCGCAGGACTAGTAGCAAGTCTGAGAGAGGCCTGATTCCGGCCCTAAGAAGGGAGGTGATCTTGGGGCGACAGGTAAGGCCCCGCCCCTTCGCCATCACCACGGGGAAGGTGCTAAGGGCTGAGCTCCCGTCTCCCGAGGTCTCGGCCTCGGGGCGGGGCGGGAGCCCGACGCCACCTGTCTCTCCGCCAACTCTGCG